ACTGAGCCACCCAGGCACTCCTTATTGCAGAGAAATTTATATTAAAAATAAGTCATACTTTGTGTTTACTAGAGGTGATAAAATGTACAGCAGTGGTGTATGTAGCTGAGGATTCAGAGACGAAAGCATGACATTAATAAAAGCAGCTCTGGGTCAATGTTCAAGAGCCAGTCTCCTTCCCCCCAACCCCAGGAAAAAAAGTGGGAAAGGGCAGTAATTGTTGAAAATTCCTTAGTGTTGGTGCCAAACTCCAGATCCTGGAGTACTTTTATTCTTTACTATTCTAGATTGGCAGAAAATAAAGAGAGTAAGAATTGTGGTGAGACTTCAGTGGTAACGGCAGTGCAATAGGTTGGGAAAATATCCCTAAGTGAACCAAAGGAATACGTAAAGAAGGAAGAAAACATTTCCTATCACTTAAAATTTTTTTGAAATGGATCTGCCATTTATTTTTGAAACTGTATAATTATGGTAGCTCTTTACTGTGTATACTCTGACTTACTTTTTTTTTTTTTTTAATTTATTTATTTGAGAGAGAGAATGAGATAGAGCATGAGAGGGGGAAAGGTCAGAGGGAGAAGCAGACTCTCTGCTCAGCAGGGAGCCCGATGCGGGACTTGATCCCGGGACTCCAGGATCATGACCTGAGCCGAAGGCAGTCGCTTAAACAACTGAGCCACCCAGGCGCCCTACTCTGACTTACTTAAAGCCTTGAAGTAATGAACCACTAAATATTTCCTGTGGCACACATTTTGTTGTTTTTCAGCTGCTATCCCTGAAAAACAATTATTTCAGGGTTGTATACATTGTGGTGCTTTTGGAAATGATTATTTATGAAGTTGTAACTCAGATGTTTGCCTTACTTTAATTACTATTCTGAATAAAATAATACTATGGAGATTCTTAATTTTTCCCAGTTTTAAGTAACTTCTGTAACATTTCTATCGATCAAAAACTTGGTTTTCTAAAATAACTTTGAACTCTTTGCTCAGTTGTACTTAAATAATTATGAAATGTTGTAGATACCCAAGAATTATAAAGAATAATGTAAACTCCCATGTATCCATCACGCAAATTAAGGAATAGAATATTGCCAGGGAATTTGAAACGCTGCATAGTCCTCTGCAACATATCTTGCTCCTGGATTACTGTTATCTTGAATTTGGTGTTTATCATTATCATTTCCATATGTTTTAGAAACATTTATTATACATATATTGGTTTAAATGATACTTTGTTTTGCATGCTTTAAAAATTTTGTATGTTTGTATAGTTTCCTCTGACTTGCTTTTTTACTTGGCATTCTTTATGAGGTTTATCTGTGTTGATACATGTAGCTCTACTTCATTTTTAGGGTTTACAAGTGTTGCTGGGTATTTAGATTGTACCTACATTTTTTGTAATTTTGAACAAGGCTTCTCTGATTATTGTTGTGCATATTTATTTGAGTCCGTCGGCAGGACTTCCCCTGAAGTATATACGTAGAAGAGCTAATGTTGGTTTGTAGACACAACTAATGTCATATTAGTCTTCCAAGTTTACCTCCTCTTTGGAAACAAATGAGAATTCTCTTTGTTCTATCCTTTGCCAATACTTGTGGTCGGACTTTAAAATTTTTGCTAATTTGATGGCAGTGGGATCTCATTGTGCCTTTAATTCATATTTCCCTAATTAGTAGCAAATGGGGAATTTTAATTTCTTTTTGCCCTTTGGTTTTCTTCTCTGTGAATTGGATTTTCCTTTTTTTGGTGCATTTTTCTATTAGATTATTTGTCTTTTTCTTTTGATTTGTATCAGTTCTTTATATAATCTGGTTAATTCTTGGTCTGTTATATGCTTTGCAAATAGCTTCTCCCACACTGATTTGTATTTACATTCTATTTATAGTGTGTTTTGATGAACAGAAGCTTATTTTAATTGATCAAATTTATTAGTTTCTTTTTATTGGTTGTTATTTTTAGTTCTTGATTACGAAATCCTCTGCCTTGAGGTCATAAATATTTTTCTTTCTTTCCTTTTCTTTCTTTCTTTCTTTCTTTCCTTCCTTCCTTTTCCTTTCCTTTTTCCTTTCCTTTTTCTTTTCCTTTCCTTTCCTTTCCTTTTTCCTTTTTCCTTTCCTTTCCTTTCCTTTTTCCTTTCCTAAGTAAACTCCATGCCATACATAGGGGCTCGAACTCACAACCCTGAGATCAAGAGTCACATGCTCTACCGACTGAGCCAGCCAGGCACCCCTATTGTGGATATTCTTAAATTTGTAAGGTTTTGCCTTTCTCACTTAGGGCCTTAATTCTTTTGAACTTGGTATTACTGTATGATATGACATAGAAGTACCATTTCATTTTTCTTACATGAGTAAATAATTCTCACATAGCACTGTATATTGGATAACCAGTTCATCTCTTCCCAGTGGTCTTTAGTGTTAATATCATTGCATATCAATTTTTATATTTTATATTTATACATATTTTATATTTTACAACTCCGTATTATATATTAATTTGCATATCAATTTTATATTTATAATATGCTTATTATTCTGTTCCTTTGGTCTCTTTTAGCCTCTTGCTAGTATAACACTGTCTTAATGGCTTAAAAGTCAGGTTGTCTAAAGGACGCCTGGGTGACTCAGTTAAGCGTCTGCCTTCAGCTCAGGTCATGATCCCAGGGTCCTGGGATCGAGCCCCGCATCGGGCTCCCTGCTCAGGGGAGAGCCTGCTTCTCCCTCTGCCTGCCGCTCCCCCTGCTTTGCTCTCTCTCTCTCTGTCAAATAAATAAATAAAATATATTTAAAAAATTAGGTTGTCTAAAACATGAATGAACCTTGAAAACATTGTGCTAAAAGAGCTTATATGTTCTCATTTATACTAAATGTCCAAGGCAGATCTGTAGACAGAGAAAGTAGGTTAGTGATTGCGTTGGAATAGGAAGATGGGGGAATTAGAAGTTAATGACTGAGGTGGGGGGTGCAGGGTTTCTTTTTAGGTGATGGAAATATTTTAAAATTTGTGGATTGTTACACAACCCTATGAATATGCTAAAAAAACATCAAGTTGCACGTTTCAGATGGGTGAATTATGTGTGAATTATATCTCAGCAATGTTAAAAAAAGTTGTGGGATGGAGCGCCTGGGTGGCTCAGTTGTTAAGCATCTGCCTTTGGCTTGGGTCATGATCTCAGGGTTCTGGGATCGAGCCCCGTATTGGGCTCCCTGCTCAGTGCGGAGCCTGCTTATCCCTCTCCCTGCCTCTCTGCCTACTTTGCTCGCTCTCTGTCTCTGTCGAATAAATAAATAAAATCTTAAAAAAAAAAAAAGTTGTGAGATGGCAGGTCCCTTTCTTTTCCCTTGTTCTTTAAAATTGTTTTGACTATATTTGGTCCTTTGCTTTTCTGTATAAATTTTAATATATTGTTAAGTTCCATGCAAAATTATGCTGTGATTTTGGTTAGAATTCTATTGAATTTATACATTAATTTGGGGGCAAATGACTTCTTTTTGTTACAGTCTCCTTACCCATGTATGTAGTATTTTACTTCATAGATCTTTTTACATTTTTTTCTTTTTTTAAAGATTTTATTTATTTATTTGACAGAGAGACACAGCGAGACAGGGAACACAAGCAGGAGGAGTGGGAGAGGGAGAAGCAGGCTTCCCGCTGAGCAGGGAGCCCGATGCGGGGCTTGATCCCAGGACTCTGGGATCATGACCTGAGCCAAAGGCAGCTGCTTAACCGACTGAGCCACCCAGGCGCCCCTACATTTTTTTTTTTCAATAAACTTTGCAGTTTTCTCCATAAAGACCATGAACATCTTTTTTTAGACTTATTTATTCCTGAGTGCTCTGTGGCTTTTATTGTACTGTAATTATATTTTAAATTACATTTTCTATTTGTTGCTGCAGTATAGAAATGCTGTTGATTTTCATGTAGTATCTCCTGCACTGCAACTTAATTGAATTCTATTTTGTCTGTAAATTCTCTTCAGTTTTCTGGCTATGAACAATCACATCATGTACAATCCTTATATATTTTTATTTTATTTTATTTTTTTAAGGATTTTTAAAATTTATTCATTTGACAGAGAGAGAGAGCACAAGCAGGGGGAGTGGGAGAGGGAGAAGCAGGCTCCCTGCTGAGCAGAGAGCCCGGTGTGGGGCTCGATCCCAGGATCCCGGGATCATGACCTGAGCCAAAGGCAGGCACCCAACCGAGCCACCCAGGCACCCCAATCCTTATATATTTTTAAATTCTTACCTTAGGGGCGCCTGGGTGGCTCAGTTGGTTAAGCGACTGCCTTCGGCTCAGGTCATGATCCTGGAGTCCTGGGATGGAGCCCCGTATTGGGCTCCCTGCTCAGCTGGGGGCCTGCTTCTCCCTCTCCCACTCCTCCTGCTTGTGATCCCTCTCTCGCTGTGTCTCTCTCTGTCAAATAAATAAATAAAAATCTTTAAAAAAAATAAAAAATAAAAA